AAATAAACAAAAAAAATACATAATAATAAACTTAAGTGACTGTACAGAGAAAGCTTTTCCGGATTTTTACTACATTTGCTGCACGCAGGTATCTTTTTTTGCAATCATACCCTTCTGCTTCCTCTCGGTCTCTCCTCTCTCTTGTATTTTCTCATTGGCTTGCAGCATGGCGTCTCTCCGCTGGCCTAGGAGGAAGAAAAACCTGACCTATCGTACGCGCTGTTCTTCTCTTCTCTCTCTCTCTCTCTCTCTCTTTCTTTCTTTCTCTCTCTCTCTCTNTCTCTCTCTCTCTCTCTCTCTCTCTCTCTCTCTCTCTCTCCCTGTCTCTATAACACCAATCTAACGCCGCCCTGAAGTCAATCCTTTCACTGCCACGCGAGCGGCAACTTAACGATGTCATTTTGGGCCAACGACCGGCGATACGGTTCGAGCTGCGGTCGAACGTGACACGTTCGATTGCGGTTCGTCCTCGATGGGAGCATTGATGGGAGAGGTGCACATTTTCCAATTGCAAACGCAAAACTAGATGCTTATTAACATACTTTGTTGTTGTTTATAAAAGAGCATTGCTTTAAAAAAAAAAAAAAAAAAAAAAAAACCGAAGACTCGATATTGATTGCGAAATGTTCTTGGACGAAAATCGGAAAGAGTCACGTGAACAGAACAGAAAACGGAATCAAATTTATTGGCAATGATTCCACGGCCCATTGGCGCCGCCGGGATCTATCTTCTTTTCTTTTTCCTTCTATTCGTGCGCCAGAGCGTGCTTCTGGAATTATTTATAAACCGGTTTCGTTTCTCTCCGAAGTCCGTAGACGGAAACGCCAATAACTCTCTTGGTTCCTTCCCTTACGAAAAAAAAAAAGAACAACAACAACAACAGCAGCAGCAGAAACAGGCTTCGCGAAGTTATCGCGGATCTCACACTTGTAGGATCTCTTTCATATTTCTCATTATGTTGCCTTGTTGTCATGTTGGCGGGATGTTTTGGCGAAGGCGGTAGCCAAGGTGCTTCTTCTCTGGAAGAAGAGTAATTTAGTGGTTACTTTTTATCTCGATCGGTTTTTCCTTTTTTTTTATTTACTTGATGCTTTGTATTGACTTCTTCGCTTTATATTAAACAATATCAATATCGGCAATTTTTTGTCATTATTGTTATATTTTAGACAAAGTACGTTATAATATATAACGTTATAATATATAACGTTATAGTTGCTAATTAAAAAGTGAAGTATTTTTTCAAATCGGTAGAAGTTGTGTAACGTGTAGAATAATTTTATTGCAGCAAGATTACTGTCTCATACTTTAGTATTACTCTCATAATGATTCTAAAAAAGTATAAGGGCCGAGGCGCAGACTTTTGCATAATTCATAACGCGTAAGACATAAGAGAATCAACCAATCCAGTCTTCCATTTTCATCCCTGCTTCTCGTTCTAAAAGGCTTTGATTGGTTGATTCTCTTATGTTTTATGCGTTATGCATTATGCAAGAATCTGTGCCTTGGCACGTTCTAATATATAGAGAGGCTCTAGTATAGAGAAGCAGATATCTCACGAAAAAAAAAAGATGTGTTAGAATAGCGAGAAGATTAGTTACTATATGATCAGCAAGAAAAATTTGCCAAGCCTGTTGAAGTTTTTTTTATATTGCCAACAAAACGTTTTGTTGACGAAACAAAAAATTCAATAGACTCAGCAATTTTTTTCTCGCTGACCGTAAAATAGCAAAACTTTTTCCGTTGTGTCATGTGATTTGTAACATAATTTATGAGTTATATATGGGATATAAACTGACTTTTCTATAATACACACGATATAAGCATCGCGAATTATAATATATATTTTTTTTATCTGTGTACACATATATACATGTAGTAGTTATTGGGATGGAAGGTTCGAAACATTAATGTCGTATGCGTTCAAAGCCGTATGCGTTGAAAACGTCTTGAAACGTGTAAAAATCATAATGCGCTTGGCAATGTCGCGACACGGTTTCGTAACAGACTGCATATATCTGACGCTGCAACAATTATTTTTATAATTTGCTGACGTAATAAGATTACTTGGAATTATTGTGTTTAAAGTACATCTCGAAATAACCGCGCGTTTGTAATATGCAATACAATTTAATAATAATCATTACACGCAATTTAATGTTCTACGTATTAAAACACCGAATGTATTACTCGGAATTAGAGTTAAGTAAAATAATAAGTATCTTTATGTTATATATATATATATATATATATATATATATACATTATACATGTGTTCCGTCAGTGTTTTTGCTAACGTTTTTTGCAATAGAATAGATTATAGCGAAAAACGGGGCCTGAAACGGTCTCCCGGACTCTTTCATCGTTTTCGTACAGTTTCCAATCTCGCCTCCGTCTCACACGGCCATTAATTCGTTCGTGTTTTGACATGTACTTTTATCTCGTGCGCATGTAGAGACACGATCCTCGAGAGATACCCGGCTCGTGATCGATCACGGGCGGCGACGGGCGCGTCTGATATGCATATGACAACAGCAGTTACATGTGTCAGAATTACGGGCGCGCTCGCCAAAAGGAGCGGAGCGAAGCTGCATGTGTGTGCGCGCGAGCATAAATCTCGCACGAGCAATTTACTCGAATGAATATAAAGAGAGATGTTCGTGCGGATTTTCCTAGACCCATATTTTCTCTCTCTCTCTCTCTCTTTCTTTCTTTCTTTCTTTCTTTCTTTCTCTTTCTTTCCTCGTTTTTTCTCTTTTTTTTACACTTTTATATTGAATGCACGTTTTTGTGCAACATGCATGTGTTTACTACTAGTTATTATACGCAGTTATTATTCTTCTGTTTCAGTTAAACATTATTCAACTTCTCTTTGTCTCTCTTCATTTTTCTCCCATTCGCTTTCATTCTTAATTCTATGGTTACCTGAGTAATAGTTACGTAACTGTTAATGCAGTTCTTCTCCTCTCTCTCTCTCTCTCTCTCTCTTTCTGTTTCTGTTTCTTGCCGGTACGGAGTGCAACCGAGCTAATCGTCAAATATTTGCTGAGCCGTGCAACGGTCTCGCCGCTATCTTCGCGTTCTGCGTTCTCTTCTAGACAATCCTCTTCCCTCTTGTCTTATCCGCCTGTTTGTGCACGCATGACAAATGCTTGCGCAGCAGCAACAACAGCCGATCGTTGCACGATCAAGCACAACGGCGAGCGTATAGTCAACGGGGTTTTCTCGGAAAGGCTACGAGACCCTGACCAACCGCACCCTTTTTCTCGAAGATGGACATGACGCAATTGCTTGAGAGAAATAGTTTCGCGAAAAATGTGCCAGCGAGTTTTTATTAAGAAAAATGAGAGCTGATAAAAAACTTGAGAGATTAATTTAATAATATAATAATAATTGTGTGTGTGTAATAGCTAATATTATACAAAGTATCACCATACACACACAACATGAAAGAATTGCAGCGAATTCGAAAAAAGCGACAAGTTGGAGATTCACGGTCGGTCGCTTATCGCATAACCGATAAACGATAAAGGTCAGAGAATGGAGTGACGATGTATACACCTCGTGCGATGAAAGAAGTGCATCCCGCGTTTAAATATAAAAGCGCGCTACGCCGGCTGCGCGTGAAATTGTTAGACACCGAGATGTGCACGCATCCACGTTATTCCACGCTTATTCGCCGTTTCTCTTTTGACGCTGATTATTCAGCGTCTGAAGTCGCACTTTGCAATGCAGCTCAAAGTACATACTGGTAAAGCAAACGAAATATTAAGTATCATATTATTAAATTATCGACTCGATGTTAAAAGCACCTGTCACTTAATAATTTAATAACACGTCAATAATTTAATTGGACGGGAAAGATGTGCGATCTTTTCTGTAAGTCTCTTTCTAAATATTTAATTCAACATTTTAGAAATTTAAATGTGAATATTAGCTTTTGTGACTTATATGAAACGTGGCGAGTACGCGGCGGAAGACGGGCGCTTTCCGGACGCGAGTGGTCGGTCGCGCGACCTCGTCATGTTTCGTTTAAGAACACCAAACGCACACCCAAAGTCTATGAATATTTACTGCCGGAAATCACTCGGCAAACGCGACTTTCCCGGTCTCCAACCGCTGCAGGCAAATAATGGACGACGGCACCGCGATAAGAGCCGCTGTCGTCGCCGCGACGACGCTTCCTGCGAGAGACGCGCGCGACGATGCGCCGTCCCGTAAAAATCGTTTCGGCGTGTAATAAATTGCTTTCGCGATTCCCGTCGACGTCACGAGAGAAAGTTTCCCGCTGAATCCGACGAAGACTACTTTTCAGCCGGACTCGACAGAAAGAGCCCACTGGAAAGTATCGCGCGACCTCTTATATATACGTTCGTACTACTTGTCTAATCGTTTCGTATTGATTGTGAGTCACATAACCACGTTTTTATTCATTCGACGTCGCAGTGACAAATTTATTATATCACACGTGACACGGAAGAATAATTGCGATCAATAACGTTTTAGTTTCTCTATTTTTCGCACTGTTCTTAGAAAACTTCTGCTAAATTAAAAAAAAAATTGTGTAAATTTATATAACAAATAAATATAAATAAATGTTTATATTACGCCATTAATAGTGTAATATAAGAATCATTAACTTTACACACAAAAGTATTTTTTCTTTTTATCCTGTATTGTATAAATATATTGTACGTTTTCTCAGTCGTTGAAATTTTACGTAAATGTGAATATATAGTACATATTATATAATACGTATTATATCAGGTTATACAACGGTAAAATAGGTTACGTTATGTTAAGTTATTTTACGTTCGCGTGCAAAATGTATCTACAATACGTTTGGAAAATTGCAACTATTGTTGTCGCGATCTCGATATTAATTCTCCTTTCACTTTCGTTGTGATTTTACATTGAAATTTTTTACATTATATAATAATCGTCTGAATATTTGTCGGCAAGAAGCCTTTTATAAAGGGGCGTATTCTGCGTTTCTGTTGCAGGAAACCGAGTGTCTAATCATATTCGCGCACTTGACGGATTACAACGTGTACAGGATACCGAACTTCAAGCGAATTTTCGGCGCACCCTTCGAGTGGGGCGCCTGCCTAAGGCCGACCAGCAACGCCGAAGCCGAAGATACGGAGGCTGGAGAACCGGGAATCAAGGTCATAGCTTTCGAGAACGAAAAATCGCGCGCCTGCTGGCTCACAGCCATGAGACTAGCTAAGGTAAGTGTTGTAGGTATATAATTCGGAGATTCGAGCGCATCGCAAGTCGGAATGAATGCACTTGCTTCCTCTCTCTCTCTCTTTCTCTCTCTCTTTGTCCGCAATAAAACAATCAATTGAGCAAAAGTATTACTTTATTGCGCGTGCTTTTCGATTAAGGCCCGTGTTCGCGACTGGCGGGGAAAACGTACCATCAAACATTAGCGAAACTAGAATTGAGAGTATTATATACAGTGAGTGACCATTAGGGTCGGTAAATAACCGTTTCAATTTGTAAGTGGAAATCAAGCTAATAGGTATCAAGCGGAGAAACAGGTACTTAAGTTCGCGGCGAAGATAATGGCGCTTTGCTACAATGTTCGTTTCCCAGCCGATTCTTCTCATAGGGTTCTCTCAGGTTCTTCTCTCCCTCACGACGTGATCATCCCTCCACCACGTGGCCGTGGGTATCATTAGTTTTTGCGATACAGCTTAGTATTATGAGCCTTATTTTCTTCCCGTTCTCTCTTCTTTCTTCGCCCGTCCGACTCGAATGTCGAAACGTCTTCGTGAAGTTCCAGAGAAGTTGCGTGACTCGCGCGTGTTTAGCGGGTCCGGGGAAAGAGAAAGAAGAACGGTCCAAGTAAAGTTGACGTGTGCGTACCATACAACTTTAAGACGTGGCCAAGATGTTTTTTTCTTTTAGAGCAGTTATGGTACTGACACCGTAGCATTTTTCTTTTCTTTTTTTTTTTCTTTTCTTTTTTCTTTTCTTTTCTTTTTTTTTTTTTTTTTTTTTTTTTTTTNTTTTTTTTTTTTTTTTTTTTTTTTTTTTTTTTTTTGACGGGAATTGGACTCGTGAGACACCGAGACTCTCCTTTCCCATCGTCGATAATATCGGTTTATTCTCGAAAGCAGACAACCTTTGTCTCTCTCTCTCTCTCTCTCTCTCTCTCTCTCTCTCTCTCTCTCTCTCTCTCTCTCTTTTTCTCTGTCTTTCTTTCTCTCTCCATTATTCTAGCCGAGCAAAGTGCTCGCCGATAACTCGTGGCTGGTAACGGTTTTAGCTAGCAATATGCGATCGGCAGCTTCGCCAAAGAGAGAGAGAAAGAGAGAGAGAGAGAGAGAGAAAGAGAAAGAGAAAGAGGCAGAAATAAGAAACTCCAGACTATGGCCGCCTACTCTTTATTACGCTACTCTTTAGAGACGTATTCTTCCTTGAGTTGAAGTGGCTGCTCAGACCGCCTCTCCACTCCGGCTAGTCTCCAAGAAGTGGGTCTGGCACAGGATCATCATCTCTCTTTCGTGCGGAGTGGCAAGCATGTTTCTTTCGCGAAAGAAATAAAGAATTACAAAAATAACATTTTTTATGTACAGCACGGTAACGTGTCTTTTAAGTCAAATGTCTATCTCTTCATAGTTTTGTTTTATGTCTGCGCGCGGTAATTAAATATTTTATTCAATTTAATTTCTACACACAATTATCCCGAGATCTTTCATGAATACGTTCCTCATTATCATCACAACTCGCATCTTGATTTAAAATAACGTTAGTCAGACTGGATAGCGGTTTAATCTGCCGCGAGACGTAATTTGGATATCCTTGCAGCAGAGAATCGTAACTCAGTTTATCCTGATGTATTCTCGATGGTCCCCCGAGTCGTGAGCCTATACTACCGTAGCCGCCGGCGGGCAGGAAGACTTGCCTAGTGTTTATCGGCCTCGTTGGCCGTCCGTGCTTGTCTGCTGCATCTCTTGTCAGCTCTACCTTACCGCTCTGGATCTCTACTATGTATATATGTTCTTCTCTTTTCCCGAGTTCTTTTCTCTTTCTTTCTTACATCGTCCCGCTGTGTTACTTCCAGCTCCGCCTTTTATCTGACGAAGGACGAGAGACGCCATCTTGGTCGGTAACGGCTCTGGGTAGTACTTACGCGTGTCTCTCAGCGAGGCCTTTGTAACTCTTTCATCCGAGAAAAAGCTAGAAGTCTGATGAGATGCGGCGAACAGAAGAGAGTTGAAGGCGGAAGGAAAAGAGCGAGAGAGAGAGAGAGAGAGAGAGAAAGAAAGAGAGAGAGACAGAGAGCAGCAAATGAGCGGGTAGGCACGGAGAAGAAACCTGCAGGACTTGCTTTGATCGAGAAGACATTGACACTTCTACTCATCCCCTTTGTGCTCCTTTTGTTTCTGTACTGGCCCCTTTTCATCCATTCCTTTACCTCGCAGTATTTCAATTCTCGCGAACTCCGATTCACTTCGCTGAAAATCTATGAAGTCTAAAGTATAGCAAACAAAGTCGTCTTCGTTGATTTGCGAGGGATGAAGTCCCGGACAAAAGATGGAATGATTGCTTTTTTCTGTTCAAGTGACATTTTTACAAATATTCATAGAATTTGATTCTCTTCAATCAAATTAGCTGCTTAGATAATCGTGTCGAAAAAAATATTTTATATTGAAATCTATTAGCGAAGCAATAATAAAAAGATCTCTATGTAAAAGCAATGATAAACTAGAATGTATTTCTTGTGCAATCATCAAATTTATCGAGAACCAAAGTGTTTCTTTTCAAAACGAACCGCAATCGTTTGATGTCTCTCGTTTGTTATTAAAAATATTATCACACGACAAATTAACTCTCTTCCTCTTTGTCCGTCTTATAAAGCGATAGCGGTAATGAGAAAGCGGATACAACAAATCGTAAGACGATAAGGATTAGAAGAGATAAAGTTGAGCTCCGCAAATATCATAAGTCACTTTGTATATATCTATATCGTGCGATTTCTGTATCTTTATGGAAGTTTCTCTGTCGCAGAAAAAGAAACAACGATCTTCGAGAATTATATTTAGCTACCTGTCTGCGCGACAAGAAATATATACCCGAAGAGTGTGTCGCGCCAACTTGCACGATCATTCAATTACCGAGAAATTTGTCATGATTCTTGACGAGGCAACTTTTTAGCGACACTCGATAGTAGATCGACGTTGCGGACGATCTCGCGCAATATCCGAAAGCGCGCGTTCAATACATTTATCCTTCGTTTACTTAGAACCTCGTGTGTGCCTCGTTATCATTCTCCGTTATATTCCCGTCGCTGATTAATGTTAGCATACATTTGTGCCTTGCCGCTTTCCTCGCTGGCGCGTTTCCTCGTCTGCGTTTGCGAATAATTGAATTACGTAATTATCTCTCCAAACGCGCCGCCAATACTCCAGGACTTCAATTAGTCGCCGCCACCCTTTATTCTCGCATCTACTTCGATTTATGCTTCGCTCTCGTGAAATACGGAAGCGGCAAATCTGAAGTTCGCTTTTTACCGATTTTATTTCGCGTAAATATTAATATTACAGAAAAATTACCGGTTACTCAAAGTTCTTTGTGTGTTTTTTGTTTTTAACGTTTTGATAAGAGATTTTAAGAAATCAGAATCAAAAATTTCAGAATTATTTTTATGACATAATTCAAATATTTTACGTTATTAAGCGTGCGTGAGGTTTAAAAGGAATTGAAACTTCTTTATTTTTTCGAGTACAAATCGCATATTGCTATATTAGCACACCTGTGCGTGTGCTACGTGGGTGTCGTACGCGTCAAGCGTCTCTCACGCTTGTGTACACGGGTGGGCGCGCACGTGTGCGTGAGAGTTGAGCGTGGATGCGCCCGACTCTGTCTTCTGGGTCGATATGATGGCTATACTACTGTTAGGTCCACGGTTATGCACACATTCACGTGGTCATCGTCTGCTTCTCTCTCGTCTTGTCTCGTCTCGTTTCCTCGCAACGCATTTGTCTCGTTGCGTACGTCGGCACCGACGCACGCACGCTTGAACGTGCTCAAACACACGTCAGCTATTTTAACTTATTGTGCGCGCAATTTGCAAAAAATTTTGTTAAAATTCCTCGCCTGATAAAATTTTTCGACCAGATAAAATTTTTTCAAACAAAAGCTTTATTTGTTATTTTTCAAATATTCTAGAAATATAAAAAAAGTTTACTTGCTCCGTATGACTATATCTCGATACGTCGGTAATATAATAGGCTTAACTCACACGAGACTTATCTCTGACCCGAGCGGTAGTTTTATCGGTGCTTGACCAGACATAGATATTTTTAGACACAAAGAACCAATTAATTTCGAGATTATGTCAGATTATTTCAGATTCACATTTTAGTTTTCAACGTTTCGTATATCTCGAAATGTGTATTATCATTTAATTATAAATGAGGATAAAAGAGTCGAAGAAAAATTCAATTGTAAAATTCGAAATAAAATCGGAGGCATTTTCTCTCTCTCTCCCTCCCTCCCTCTCTCTTTCTCTATTCGCGTGGCAACGTTGAATTTATCTAGGCGAGTGCGATACCTCGGCAAGAGAGAGCGGGGTATCGATCGGCGGCTGGCTCGCACAGCTGGACAGCGTGATCCGACCGGCGCGACAAAGTAACGCGTGCAAAATTATGTAAATCGCGAATGCAATTTCCCTGTCCGGCTTTATATCGGTCTCGGACGTTGCGATGCGCCCGAAGCGTAGAATCGGTTAGGCGCGCACGTGTGCGTTTGTCCGTCGCGTGCATCTCGCGAACTTTGTAGCGCGCACGCACGTTAACGGTGCCCGCTCCGCTTTGTGTTTCAGTACGGCAAACAGCTCCGAGAAAATTACCGAGCCTTCAAGAACAAGCAGTGCGAGCAAAACGGCAGCGGCAGCCCCAAGGAACAGTACAGCAGCTACAATGTGTCCAACGTAAGTGTTATATATGTGTGTTATACGTGTAATTTCAAGAACTGAGAATTATATGAATTTCTAGGCTTGTACGCAAAATTTAGAAAAACAATTGTAGAGAAAATTACGAAATTTGCAATAATACAAACAAAAGTTTTCAAAATATCGTTAATTTGTCTTTTTGTGGTTTACTCGTTGCTTTGTTATAAATAACGATTTAGATTCTATTCTCAGTTATTCTAACCAATATGTGCTATAATAATTTTTTTTTTAATATATATATATGTTTTACGATATTTCGAGACAATTATCATAAAACAGCAAAAACTATAGTCGCACGCGTTGTGCGATAATTCACAAAGTGCTCGCAAATTCGACTGTGCCGTTGTAATTGCAGATCAAATCCAAAGAGAAAGAACATAAAAAAGTACACGTTGACATAGAGGCTGTGTTGCGATATGGGTGGGTAGATACAAGTGAGATCGCGTACAATGTCTCTTAGCAAATTATTTCGCTATTGCGCTGGCGCGCGCGATATATATTTTCGACGGCCGCTCTCTTGCCTCGAAAGGTAAATTTCGCTTTAGACGCGGTAAATGGAATGGAAGAGGCGATTACGCTGAAATTACCCCGAGTGACAGTAATTTGCCGGGTCACGCCACGTTCGATCATTGCCTTTAGTTATCTCTGCCGGTACGCGAGCTGCCGTCGAGCTGTTCGTCTCTCGTCGAACTTTCGTAATCTATGAGATCTCGATTAATTCGCCCGATCTCAAAACTTTTCAATACTTTTTTTCTTCATGTTCTGTTTAGATTTGTTTTTTTTTGTTTTGTGTAGGAGAGTTTTATTTATTTATTTATATTATTTATTTTCTTTATTTATCTATATTATTGTTGTTGTTATCTATATTATTGACTAAAATATATTTGTTGTCGTGTATTTACAATAAATAAAATTAGCTACGCAAAATGCTAAAAAAATCTGCGCAATACTAGAACGCAGCACAAACAAATCTATTTAACTTCTATTTTCTGACAAGTTGCGCTTTTGCTACGAAACTTCATAACGGTTGTTTAATTAATACATTGAAATGCGTAAGAGAATTATACAATATTACGAATGAATAAACGAACAGCAATACATGGGAGAACAGTGGGGCTTTTAACGATGCACCGTTGCCGATGCGGTAGCTAAATAATTGTACCAAATAGCTTGTTAACTATTGATCTTTAATGCTAAATACCGCGCGGAATACGCGGAAATTACCAAGCCACTCCCGATCGAGATTCTACTCGCTTTGTTGCGTTTATGAACGGTTTTACCTCGAGTGCACACAGACACGATAGATACGTCTCTTTTCCTTTCTCTCTGGCGCATGCAATCCGTCCTATTTGTACAATAGGTAAGCTATGGGAAACGAATTACGTTGCCACGACTAACAGGTATCGTATATCGTCGGTTTATCGCGGTAGCACCCGACTGCGATAATAAATTCGCCGATCCACAATCGGTCTCGGACGCGGTTCGTTGCGATCAACCGTTCGCGATCGACTCGCCAAAGAGAAAACGAGAGCCAACGTTAACAAACTAATTTCTCATGAAAGATTTTCTATTGGCAAGTTAATTCGCGAAAATTTATTTATTCTCATTTATCAACATTTGTGTATAGTTTATAGTTGTCAATAATTACACTTAGAAGATTTGGAAACAAAAATGTTTAATTTGTTATATTTATTCAATTAATTGCATATCGATTGGAGAGAATCGATAAATACGAGAATTCTGATCTGATTTGTTTGCAAGGAGAAAAAATGTAATAAAAAAAATTGTGAGTGTGAATAGAAGTATTAAAAAACGAATATATTTCATAGAAAGAGTGAGAAAAATTAATGGTTTTTTTTGGAACCGTTGTAAAAAGAATTTTACTTTTCGTAATTAAATGAATAAAAACATTTTGTTACGCGCAAGTTTGAAAACAGAAAAATAATGCTTATATTAATAAAATAAATATGCACAAGAGTTACATTAAAATTTAAAAAAGAAACTCCGCATCGGTTTCTCTTTGTAATTAATCGGGTTCTCTTTATGAATAATTTTCGCGATTCTAGTTCGGTGGAAATTAATAATTTAGCGACGTATCTGATGAACATTATCATTATTAATTATCGATATCCGTCGATTATATCACGTAACTATTTAAAAAGATTAATTCGTTCGGTTGACGCGCACTCGAGCAAAACTATAAAGAACGAAGTGCTGGAAAATGTTGGAAACGATGACACACCCTTCTGACGACTCAGGAAAGCAAATTTTTGCAGAAAAGTGCTGTCATAAACTTCGCGAGGAAAGCGAGGAAAGAAGGATCTATCCCCATCGAATCTCACTGACCTCATTGTCGTGCTATCCCCGACCTCGTCGAGATATAGTGGGTTCTATATATCTCTCTTTCTTCTTTTTCTCCTTCTCTTACTCCACGTTATTCTTCACGTTCTCCTAAGACGACGCGTCTCGCCCGGTAGGAAATTTCATCCTCGTATCGCACAGCTGATTCCAAGGTCGTTTCCGCACCAGCCAGCTAGAAAGACAACCCCACGTCGGTGTATATTCTTGAAGCTAGACACGTACTGATTCACTTCCCCTCCCCCTCCATCCTCACCTTCTTTATATCACATTGGCGGACTTATTTCTCTTCTCGCATCTCTCTCTTTTTCTCGCTCGCCGTTGAAGGGGTGAATCTGTAATGGTTTGTTCCCATTACGATCGAGAAATTCTTCAAATCGTTTTATCGATGAACCGCGAGAATTGCAATCATAATTTAATTGCATTATCCGATCAAAATTGCCAAGAGCGATCAAAGATACGTTTTTATTAAAACATTTTTTTAAATTTGAACTACGATTTATGCGGAGAAACGCGCTCGGAATCTCAATTTCTTCTTATTGAAGATTTTAAGTGTCTTAATGATTATCGTAATATAGTCCCCGCACTTTCTTGTAAGGCGCGTAACTGTTACGATAATAAAGTGTCCGCGGAACCTCCTTGAGGAAGGCGATATCGATTAGGCGTAGCGGGCATGAGATGCATTATCGAGCCACTTCGAAGAACTGGTTTTGAAGTAGCGATCTTAACGAGTTTCCGGCAATAAATTACTGTTCGTGCCGGTTATGAATTATCCAGGTGAAGGAGCACAGAGGATGACAATTAAAGCCTAGTATGGAAAATAACCGGTATTACGCGACTAATGCGCAAAAGTGCGAGAGAAAAGATAGCTAAGTGGTGCTTTACAAAACACCGTAATTGATAGGGGCGGTCTGTCATGGTTCAACGACAATCTCAAGTAATAGCAGGAAATTATGCTGTTTATAAAGATATATGATCGTGAGTAATTATAGCGCCAAGAGATAATTACAAGGCGCGAGAAAGTTTTTTTCGCCGATGCGTGTGTCGACATTTTCAAGAAATTACAGAATTTGACAATATCACACGTATGATTGAAGGCGCTTTCGCACATGATTAAAAGACACTTTCTATCATTCCGATAAAGACATCGATACTTGACAAAATGGAAAAAGAGAAGAAAATGTAATAATAGTCATTTTAAATAATAATATTTCAAAATGCAATAATAGAAACAAAAAAAATAAAAAATAAACGCGACAGAATTTCTACAATCTTTTCTGAATTTCGTAGAAAATTCCCTCTAAAGAGGGAGGAAAGCACGAACGTGTCTTGCACTCTTTGTTTCGCTTGAAAGCTTCGATCACGGATATATTGTTCGTGTGTGTCTCCCTTTTATCTGTATTTGAAGAGAAACAAAAGAAAAAGAGTAACACACGCCTCACGTCGCATCGATAACGACGAAGCGAATTTCACATTTTCTTCTGTGCTTTTTCTTTCGTTCTTCACGTTCCTTACTTATATCACGTAAAAAAAAGTGAAATGCTACAAAATAAAATAATATTTCGAGCGTAATTCGCATTGCTAAAATAAACAATTGGTTAGCTTTTAATGAAATGTTTTTTCTCTATTATGAAGTTCTTTGCTTTGCAACAATCCGGGTGACTCGGCGAGACCAGACTGTATTGTGTACATCACTGACCACACTATTCGGCATCATTATGTCATTTCGTTTCAACTACCCGACCCGGTATCCGTGTAGACGACGAGCGCATTTAATAGGCTGCTCTCGTGGTCGACGTGAAAGCGCAGTCGCTCTGCTTTTAGTCAGACATCGTATTTCCCTTAATGGTGCGACGCGGCCAACTTGGATACCGGAAGTGTCGGGAGCACCTAGCAACGACGTTCTTTCCGTTTTTCTACTCGCGGGAAGTCTCGGGCATTGTTATCCAATGGGCGACTTGCCGTCGATTCTCGCGCGCGAATCGTTCCTTTCAATTCAAGTGGCCTTTATACTCCTCGCGGGGAATTTCAGTGCGAACCTTAATTACCTAGCTGTTTAATACCAGAATTTAACGGCTGCAACAAATAATGGTTTCTTCCCTCTCCGAAGTTATCGTCAATTACTCGAAGTCGGGGAAAGAAAACGCTATTAAAATTAAGCCCGTGGGTTTTACCCGCGTTAATTGTTAATTAAATCCTATGAAATATATATTATAGTACACGCAACGCCAAAGGCTTCCTTCTCTGAAATCTCGGTCTAGTCCCGTGACGCAGAAATCGTTATTATTCACGGCGCGTATCCGTCACATTTTCAATTCGAACGTCTCCACTCTACTAAACCGTCGTCTTTTTCGATCATCACTCATGTGATCGTCTCCTTTTTCCTCCCCCATCATTTTCATCCGTTGCCAGGTCGAGTATCAGACTTGAATAGGGAGGACCACTCCAAGTTGACGAGGCTTGCGGGGACAGGCAGACCGGGAGGGTGTAGTACTTCGGTTACAGTCACGGGTTTAAAAGTCGGGCAAAAAGCTCCGGCTGTTGCTACGCGCGAACTATCGACCAACCCGGCTTCTACCTATACCTATATCCATGCGAAAGAGAGAGAGATATATATATAT